TATTTGTTATATTAAAATATTTCTGAAGGCTCGCATGTGGAAGCAGCTTTTGTGGGTGTTTGAGTTAAAAGGAACAATCTAGGAATATGTGTCTCCTGCTCTCAGCTTTTCAGTCATAGCGTGATGTGAACCATCTGCCTGTCATCTCTGTCACTCCTTGTGCTGAAAGCGGGCATTGTTCAAAGCACTCAAACTGGTCAGTGTATTTTCAAACCAGACAGTGTTTCAGCACTCCAGCAAGGCTGTGTTGGAACCCGTTTTTGTCAAAGCACTTAAATCAGACAGCATATGTGTTGAAAACTTACCTTGCTGGAAGCATAATGAGAAGTTCATCTGTGGTGGGTTTAACACACTGGATGTGTTTTTCTCATTCTTTTGAATAAATGTTGACACGAAGATTGATCATGTATTCACCATGAATATATGATAAGGCAGGGGGATGTTTTGCAAAGGTAGTGTATGTTGCAGAATGTCGGGGTGGTCGTAAAAAAGCATGTAAATTGTGACTTCAAGTTAAAGCAGCATAAAGCAAGCATTTTTTTTGGCCTACTAAGCATGGAAGAATTGATGGAAGAAACAACCTGAAAAACACAAACTTTAACATTTTATACTTAAAGTTGCCATGGTTAACTCGTTTTTAAAAAATATTGTCATTTACATGTTTAATAGACACATAGGAACATTAGCATTCATTTGGAGTTGTGTTTCTGAAAGACTGTCCTCCCAAGAAAAACGACAGCATCAGTCTTTTCAGTAAGCTAGTGCCCAAAAACAAGCTTTGTTTACAGTGAAGGGACAAAGCCCTCAAGCAGCCGTAGGAATTGTGAGTCCCGTTCGTTAGGAGCAAAGGAGTAAGTAGTGTGACCCTGCCCTAGAGACCCCTAAGGTCCACAGATGGAGAAGGCTGGGGTGGATGGAGGATCAACAAAGCGTCAGACTTTGTCATGGGGAAACCCCTGTTTATTTCCCATTTCTGACTAATAGTCAATGTTGTTTTCTTTTAACCCTGAACTTGCACTTTGTCTGACCTTAAGCATGTGGCTATTATTGTAATTATGATTATAAATGTCCCCTTATCTTAAAAAACTATTCATTTTATCCCAAACTGATCTTTCCCTATAGTCAAATTACAGATTAACAGATTTATTTTTCAGCAGTGATTTGTAACAGTTCTGGAAGGCACAGACAAATTACGTGGCGCTTCTATGTATCGTTCTTAAGGACAAACTACATATTTTGTCATTTAATTTAGAGGACTTGTTGGCTTCTGGCCACCTGCAATGTTCACTTTCCTTTCTAGTTCTGTTTTGGTCTGTACTAACTTCAAAGAAAAATCTATGATTAACTTGTCTGTCTACTACCACTCCTACCATGAAGGGATTTCATCAATTGTTGATGTAGAAAATCTTTATTAGAGCTTAAAAGCAGGCTTTTTGTGTCCACGCTATGATGAGGATTTCAGTTCAAGCTTCTATAGGCACTTTAGCCACTGATCTCATTGGTGTAAATTCAGATTGTGCGATCATCAAGTCCCAGTCTGACAAGACAGATGTGAATGGAAGTTTCTGTTTTTTTGTACAATCAAAAACTCCCAAGTTCTCTTTTTGCTTTTCTCATCTGTTTAAGTTGTCTCACTGTTGTGATGTTTATATTGGTGGTTCATCAAAGGGCAGATTCCTGGAGGGTTATTAATATAAGTCGTGGTCAACTGTTAACGGATGTCTCTGCACATTTGGAGTTGAGCTCTGCTGCTGTCAGAGAGTGTGCTTGATAGAACGGCATGAACGTACATACACGTACTGTAAGTGTGTGTGTGTCTCCAGTGGATATGTGCGTAGTGTTAAAGCTGCTGTTTTCTGTCTTGGCCAAAGCAACTGAGCCATAAATCAAATACCCTGGGAAACTTGAAGACTTTGGCTTGTTGCGTAGACAGATTATTTAGTTTTCTGTTTTTGATTTTCTCAATGATTTTTTGCACTCTCTTTGATATGAAAAGTGAAACTACTTTCAGCTCTGAAATCCTTTTAATCATAGTGATTGAAAACAAATGTTTGCTTTTGGTATACTGATTTCCTACCAGCACAACCTATATACGGAATTCAGGCATTAAGGTTAAATTCTCTGTTGTATGGCCTCTTGTTCTCCTTGTTACTTTGATACAGAGGGAAGCAGAGCAGTGTTTTGTGAGTGTGGCTGTATGTATGTTGCGTGTGTGTGTGTGTGCATGTGTGGAAGGGGTGGGGGCATATAATTGAACATTTTGTGGTGAGGTCCATAACGATGCCAGAGTGGTTAGCAAGAACACACCCCTTCAAATGGGTTAAAAATGTACACAGAATATAAAACAGACATTCAGTACCAAGTGTACCAAGTGTTAGTTTTTTCTCCTTTCCTTCTGTTTCTCCCTTACTTCCCATCCATGCAATTTTAATCACTGTCGAGTCGATCGCTCATTACTTTCTTCTTCCTGCCCTCTGTGGTTGTGAGTGGTGGTGAGTGATGTTGCGTGTGTTGGGCTAATATGACTATAAAAGGTTGGGGCCGCAGAGCCTTAACACTAATCCGGGTGCAGAGCCTCTTTTATTAGCCCTGCTTGTGTCTGTCTGTCTTTGTGTGTGTGTGTGAGAGAGACAAAGATAGAGGCAAAGGAGACAGACACAGAGGGGGGATGCAACTCACCAAAGACGTCCAAACCCACATTACACTCTCTCATCCTTGCCTGTCTTTTCTCATTTTGCAGAAACACATTTTCTTGTAGAAGCACCAAATTGAAGTGAAGTGATAGCTGATGGGTAAGAGTAAGAGCCACTTCATAACTAGAACAGCCACAAAAGTGGTCTGTGTACATGTTCAGTGAAGTGGTCTGTGTGGTCCTTTTTCATGCTGTCAAAAGAAACAAATGACCTCACTCCCCTTTGTACACACTCAGACCTTCTGTGTGACCAAGAATGGTCAGAATCACAGCTGCAAGGTGTTTTTGTTCTTGAAGATACAATATATAACAAACGCACAAAACCAAATTGTTATTTGATTGCGCACAGTTTGACATTGCATTTCAAAGACATAAGAAAAAATTGTTATGAAAGAAAATTGTTATGTTGAACCTCTTCACATTGGTCTTAGATACAGCGCATGGGAAAAAGACAAGAGTGTGTGACATCCTACGCACATTTCCAAATTTGTGACTGTCCTCCCTCAGCCTATTGATAAGAATGGCTCTGGTTAATATATGCCTCACTGTATTGCCCTGTCTGTTGGTGACAGTGACTGTGAGTAAAGACAGTATTTCAGGTCAGAAGTTATAGTATAGTAATACTATAAGTAAAAACAAAGAAAGTCTCCTTCCATGATATTTCCGCGTTAATTAAACAGAAATAAATTGTTTCTCATGTTTGTTTTTCTACGGATGAGAACATTATAATTTGCATCACCATTACTTAAAGCATTTTTAAAAATCTGCCTTGCCTATATAAAAGTATTTTGATAACTCATTTAACTTTACCAAGAAGGAAACGAGGCATAGCTTCAAAACAAAAAAATAGAACACATAATTACACATTTAATCTAATTAGACTTTATTTTGGTGTGTACCCAGGCCCACTTGTGTGCCTGTTAAGTGCTTAGTTGCCTTGCAACTGTTCACTTGTTGACAAAATATGTTTAATGTTTCTCACAACTAGATAGACAACACCACCAGTTATGAGTGTGGAAAATGTTACATTTGTTCCCCCAGCACAATTATAATGATGTATTTAACATTATTGTCAAAAATAGAATTGATACAGTTCATCATTTGTTCATGTTGAAGCCATGTTGAGCAGCAGGGTTGGTATTAAATGCCAGCCCTGCTGTTCAACATGAGTTCTTTTGTGGCTTGAATCTGTTTCAAATTAACCAGCTTCCCCCCGAGTGGAAGCACAGTAATTAAACTTTGTTTGGATGCAGATATTTAAAGCATACCTGAAAAATCATGGAAGACACTGAAAACCAGAGACAAGAGAAATTGTGTGTGCATAGTGTGTGCATATTTTATGATGTGTCTAATCTAAGAGATGTCTGGCTTGTAATTGCTGTTTCCTCAAAGCCAATAAAAGTGGAATGTGTCTACACCATGTAGTGTCCATTAGCTATTTGTCACCTTTTTAACTGCATTTTGTACGGAATATAACGGCATAATTGCTTTTTATTAGGACTAGATTCACTTTATTTAATCTTTATTGTAATAGTAAATTGTGTGTCAAGATAAGCTTCATTTATTTGTTTACTAAGTCAGTCCTTATAAAACACCAGCGTTTTAGTTACACTGTTGTGCTGCTGTTGAAATGTGGCTCAAGAGTTGACATAGGTGCCCCATTATCAGATTGCTACATGTCAGCTTCCATATACTGCGGTCCTAACATACAGCCGACACAATTTTGTTCTTTGTGATCTAATTTTAATTTTTTGTGTTTACTCAACCAAACATGCATTCAAAATGTGGCCATTTAGCTTTCTGCTAGCTTTTCAATGCATGTACAGTAGGTTGATAAAAGACAACTCTTTTTCTTTGTCTTAATTTTCATCATACATCCTGCCAATAAGAAATGGATACATGCAGTAGTGGAGAATTTGGACACAAGGGTTGCATTATGGCTGTGCTCTATTTTTTTCACACATGCTGTGGTTAAGAGACCTTTTGAACCTTTCTCTTTTCTCTAACAAGCTGTAAGCCCAGTATGACAGCAGGCCATAAAGAAGAAACACAGGTAACTCAAAGATGAAGGCTCCTGCTATTAGACACGCATCAGTGAACGTACAGTAGTAGACCCTCCATCATGTGGTAGAGTACCAGGTCTTTCATTAGCTTTGCCGAAATGCTTCTGTAATGGAATAGATACATAAATCCTGTGATAAATACAGAGTGAATGTGTACTCCCCACCCACCTGCTTAATAATCCTGACTGTGATGTTGCTGGTTATGTAGATAATTGAAGCTGTTTGTGGTTTTTGTGTTTCTGCAGCTGACAGATGGTGGGAAGGCCGCTAAAGGTGGGATTTCAGTTGGAGACATGGTTCTATCTATTGACGGCATCGCCACGGAGGGCATGAACCACCTGGAGGCCCAGAACAAGATCAAGAGCTGCACTGGTAACCTCACCCTCAACCTGCAGAAGTAAGCCGTGAGCTCACACTCAGTGGGTGTGTGTGTTTTTGTTTTACTAAGTTCATGGGGTCCAAAAACCAGGATTCCACTATGCTTGTGGGGACCGACTAGCTTTGTGGGAACCAAAAGGCTGGACCCCACAAGTGGGCTGTTTGAGGGTTGACATTCGGTTTTAGGATTCAGGTTAGAATTAGTTTATGGTTAAGGTTAGGGTTAAGGGATATGAGATATCCCCATGAAGATAATAAAACAATTGTGTGTGTGTGTGTGTGTGTGTGTGTGTGTGTGTGTGTAACGAAAACCAAGCTATCCACTTTATGATGATTTAACGTGTGAACGTGAGTGGGAAGCCATTTATCTCCATGATGACACCAGATCCATACACTACCCTTCAAACACTCCCAAACAACCCATCTCTGCAACACATTTGAAGTCCACGGTTCCCCTTTCAACCCCAGACGCCCCACATACAGGCAGATGTTCACTGTTGTTGTAGGAGTTAATCTTAGCTCTAACACACAGCAACAGCATTAGTTCTGCCTGGGCTCCCATTCCCTGAAGAAATGAGGAATAACCGAGCATCACACATGTGGACCACCCCCTCTTCCCCAAGGCCTACTCTGCACTATTTGGTGGAATCCTGTACAATGGAGCTGATTTATCACAAGCAGTTGTGTTACTCTTTGTGTGTGTGTGTGTGTGTGTGTGTGTGTGTGTGCGTGTGCCTAGCTTTGTATTGGTTCTCATGTGGTTTGAATTGTCTGGTCCTTTGGCAGCACTTGCAGTCATGCGTGTTTTTATTTAAACACTGTGAGATGTTCAGGGCTCCTACACTTGTGCTTTTGGATTAAAGATTACAAAAGGAGCAGATTTATAGCATACAAGGAGAGGTAAAATGAATTGCTTTTGCTATACGTTAATTCAGAATTGACTGAACCAATAAAAGTGCTCAGTTTCCATTTTTTTCTGTGTGTTTTGTTGTGTTCCTTTATCTTTGTCTGCATGTCTGGATTTCACATTCTGTCGTCCCTCGATGGCTTTTCATCTTTCGTTCAGCTCATTTGAGGCTAACTGAGCATGTCCTCTAGTTTGTGTCCAAATGATGACAGACTGAAAATGTTTGGTTTTGCTCGAGTAGCAGAGAACACCATCTGTAATACCACATTGTAACTCAAGGGTCAGTGTGCTGTCTCCTGTGAAAGAGAGGCCCATGATCAAACGTTATGATGAGTGAAGCAGGGCTTAGCATAACACTTGGCTATGGGTTATCAATGGATGATTTACCAGTCCAAGAAGGAGTTCATATTCTGATGGATGGCCAAGGTTTTTACACTAAAGAAGGTCAACAAGTTTTTCTGACAACAATGTGGATGATATGCAACCAATTGATCCAGCAGTGAATCTGAAATTGTTTTTGCAGGCAACAGTAGCACTCATTTGATTTATACCTTTAAGGTATTTCAATTACACAGTACAGCCGGTCTAAGCATATTCATAAAACATCACAAAAAGGATTCTTATTGATGGATTTTAACAATCATTTGTTTTAATCAGATTAGTTAGCATGTGTAGATTTTATTGAGAAGGGATCCAAGCACTGGTTCATGGTTTATATAGTGGAACAATACTACCACACTTGGCTTCTGCTTATATAGTTTCTCTCCCTAAAGCTGCATTAAAACATGTGGATTAGACAACTAATAGTTCCAACATTTCTGTACTTCATCTAAGGTTTGGCATGGTGTGAAAGAGGTTGTTTTGAACGTTGCGCTTTGCATGACTCCTCACATAACTGAAACCTGCCCAACACATTATTCATGATTGTGACTGTCACACCATATATCTTCTCTTAAAGGAAACGTTTGACTGTTTGGGAAATATGCTTATTTGCTTTCTTGGCAAGAGTTAGATGACAGGATCAATACCACTCTTGTCTGTTAAATATGCTACAGCCAGGACATGGTTTGCTTAGCTTAGCATAAAGACAGGATACAGGGTTAGCCTGTGCATGTCCAAAGGTCTGCAGCAAATCTCACATACTACTGGACCCTTCAGCCCAGTATTTTGGTGTACATTTATGACTGTATGCTCAAGGACCACTCTTGATTACGGTGGTTCACAGTTTTGGAAAAAAATATTCTACTGATTTTGTGATCTTTGCCACCATCTTGACTGTTGCTGGGAGGGACAACTGAGTAATTAAACTCTTCTTTGTTTTGGATGGGGTTTTATGTTTTGTGGTGTGTTACAACAAAATGTTCTAAATAAATAACAAAATGTTCTGACTATATATGGATGTTTAATTTCAGAAATTTGGACTTACCCTCCCATTTATTGTTTCCTCATTAAGTTTATTCAGTTAGGCAAACCCAGGATGCGCGATTACAAATCATTACAATATTCTATGCATCTTAAAGAAGATGAAGACTATACTATGCATACAATATAAAAAAAAACACTTTCACCCTTTCATTCCACTACTCTCATGCATACATGCTGGACACTGCGCTCCCTGTTCCTGACCCACATGCTCCCAGACACAACTGAACTGCAGCGATGACCAGAGCAAGATTTGCAATATCTCATCAACTACAGATGAAACGCTATGAAAATTTCAAATCACAATTATAGTGACCACAAGAGTTAACTTACCTTGCATTAGCTATAAAGTAGTGGGTGGGGGTCACTGAGATGACTCATAAGATTCACAGTGTTGTCCACTTTCACAGCAATTTTCTTTGATCAAGTTTACCTCAGCACTCTTTTAAAAAAAACTATATGACTTCAGGGGCCATACACTATACTTCATAACTTTATAACATCTTTAAAGGGGCCTTCAGTAGTTTTCAGTGGCCTCTAGCAGTGAGGTTTCAGATTGCAACCACTAAGTTTCTAAGCACATGCTCCTACGCGTGCTCGAACTAATGAACGAGCACTTGGGATCTGCCAAAACGGGAGACGGCATCACACATAATGCTAGAAACTCAGGTAAACTCCCACTGCAACATTACAGTAGTAATCTTTATCAGCTTGACGTTAAACCATGCTTGTTATATTATGCGTATTGAATGTTTTTAGCTAACATGATACGTCAGCGATGTGTGTCTTTGACCAGAGAGGCTCAGCAATAGATAATGAAAACGGTTAGTGAACTGGACTGAATATCATTAATGAGATTGTATCACTCTTTAGTATAACAGTTAGATGGTAGTAAGTGACGTTACTGTAACTTACTGGATGTGGCTTATACTGTGGTGTTGTCCTGCACCGCTGTGTTGCATTACTGTACATTATGTGAGATTATAACCTGTCCATAAAGTGATTCATTTCATTAAATAACTACATACAGCCCCTTTAATATTAATGCAAATTTGAGATGGTTTTCATCTGGGAGACTGTTACTAACTTTGGTTAATGCTGGACAGCATTTAACATGATTTTTTTTTTCATGGTTTCAATGATAATTAAAATTTAACATGGTAAAACTTATCATCGGGAACTTAACAATGGTTTATCATTAAACTGCCAACCGATTTATCCCTATCATAGACTTTTGCTTCCAATAATGTAATTAAAGAGCTGCAAAGTGCCAGTGTAACAGAACAAATCTCATGTAAGGTTCCGCTTGTTTGTGGGACCAGTTAAAGGATTATCTGTTCTGCATCGCTCTGTGTCTGCGGCAGACATTAACCCTTGAAGGGCTGATTCATATCCTATTGGAAACACGTGAAACAGCTTGTTTCATTAAGTGGCAGTATTATATTATTAAGGCTGTGTGACCAGGCAAGCCACTTCGGGGACAGCTGGCTCCAGCTTCTACTTTATGGGATATTTTAGGGTCTAAAAGATTGACAGTAATCCCTGTGCCTTCTCCAGACTCAATTTACAAAAAGAAGTAAGTTTCAAGGTTTCTCTGTTTGTTGCTTGGCATTCATTGGCACTGTGAATTAGACATGCTGTATATTCAAGGAGTGTCATGCCTAGGTCAACATCTGGACTTTAATGGGTTTACATGCGTAATGGAAAGAACCAATCTGAAACGCTTGTTTCAGTTTTTATAGGCGTCACTTGCTTCTCTTTTCATTTTTCCATTCTGCCTGCATTTTTCAGTCGGGTTTGTCACTGGGTCAGATAGCAAAAGGAATGATAACAGTGGGAAGATACAGGAAAATGTTAACAATTCATGTGGCGTCTGTATGTGTGTATTTTAAGAGGAGACAGGTTGTTATTCCTTTTACAAATAAAGGGGTGTTGGGGAGAAGAGATGGGCAACAGATGGACAAGAGCAGGAAAAGCTGTAAAAAAGAAAAAAAGAAGTTGTTTCTACAAAAAGAATATAAACTGAAACTGAAGCTGAATTTGTCCGGGCTGCTATTAGTGTTAAGGATGACATGGCAAATGTAAGGCGGGCCAAATTATCCTGGCACTGATCCAACCTCTCCATCCAGTAAAAAAAACTGGAACAGAATCAGTAGTTCATTACCTGAGAAGTAAAGCCAGATAAATACATGAATGCAAATACCATGGTTACCAGACTAATCATCACACACCAACATTCATTTAGCTCTCTGTGATACTTTCTTTATTCCTACAGCAGAAAACATATTACAGGAAAGCAAGCAGCACTGAGGTAACAGGTGCCAAAACAACATTGGTGTAAGTTTGTTGTTGTTCTTCCATTCATTTCTGTTTAGATCAGCTTGTTCAAACTGAATGAAGCAGTGTAAAGACAGGTATCAAAGTTCAAATGAGCAACCAAAGATCTGTGCATAAATTAATTTGATGACCTGCAGATTGAAGATGTCTTTTTTGTGTTTTTCTGTGACTCATTTTACAAACTCTCTTTTTGATATAGGCTCTGGCAGTCACCCTATCAGCTGGCTCCACTGTTAAACAGCAGGTTCTTCCTTGAAAATGTTTTACATCACACAGGTTTTGTACTCAAAAAGCAGATCTCAAATACATCAAAGGCTGTTTTTATCAGCTTCTTTCGTCCAGGAATGATCCCT